CGCGTTGGCACAGTGCTCCTGCACCTTGGCCAACAGCGGGAAGAAAACCTGCCAAGGCAAAACAACAGGAGTGGGCGTGTGAGATAGAGGCCATATAATATATATTCGGTCAGAAAACAAAGGAAACATTTAAAGATAAAACGAAAAAAATACAGGGGTTAATGGACTACTGTCAGAACTGTTTCACAACGCATTGTTGCACATACCACTATTACCCGCTGGCAGAAAAAGTCTCCCTAACTGCATGACCTACCGTCCACAGGAGATCACACCAGGTGGAGTCGACAAACTGCGAGCTGTGGCATTCCACGGCATTGAAGAGGGTCTGCCCGGCGGACTTGCGCACAGCAGGACGCCGATCCTGACAGAGGTTGGAGAGGCAACAGAAGACTTCCACCCAGAGCGCTTCAATTTTGGAGGTTTCGTCAGAACCGGCTTCTCGTTGGAATAAAAAGTCTGCCAAGTGGAGCTAAAACCGAGGGGACAGGAAGAGGAAAGATGGGTTGCAATCAGGGACTAATAGCCACACTATATTAAAAAACAACAAAAGTCTATATGATTATGGACTCGTCTTTCTAACTTATACAAACAGTGGAAACTGCAATCCAAGCAATGGTTTTTTAACGCAAAGGTACAAATCAAACTTTGTAAGGAATGAGGAGGCGACAAAATGGAAGGGTCCACAGCCCATTGGACATAAAAGGAAGTCTACTAAAAACGTAGGTAATAGTCAGCTCGGTAGGCAAATCAATGAGACTTAATATTGTGTATGAAATTCCCCAAACGGTTGATAGCAACTGGAGATAATCAAGAGGGGCAGAGTACCGGGGAGAAAAGGCAAATACTTGGTCAAAAAAGCCTCAACGGTAGGAAGCAGCCCCATGGGAATGATAAATAATTTCCTAAGGCAATTGCACCATAAGGAAGGCCAAAGTGCAGTTCAGTCTATTTGAGGACAAAAAGAGCCATATGTCTTTTAACTCTCTAGTCTTCGAGAAGTTGAAGCATAAAAACGAAAGTGAGCAGG